GAAACAAAAATATGATGGAAAAAAAAACTTAACTCTGTTTTCTGTTACTTTTGCCTCCCTTCTCTGTTTCGCTCATTCTTCCCCTCTTCCAATCAACTATGCTCTTGCACTGCTTGTCTTACTCTACGCTCATCATTTGCTCTCGCTCTAAACTCTTTCCTTTTGCTTTGCCGGCCGGCAAATGCATCAATACACGCACACCGACTCGCTCACTCTCACATATTGATGTGAGCGTCTGAGTTGCTGCTGGGGAAGTGAGTCGAGAGAGCCATTTGTGCGCTCTGTGTGCTTTTCTTGCTGCTGCACAGCTCCTTTGAAATTTTATATAAGCTGAAATTTGATATTTTTACATGTACTTCATTTTTTTTTTTGTATTATCTAATTGCATGCGTATCGAATGACTATAAGTTTACGCCTAAAAATGTTAATTAAATTGTGAAATGCAAATGAAAAGTGTATTCTCTTTTACCCATATACATATGTATGTATGTATACGTACAAGCATATGCTCACACTTGTATTAGTTTGTACATCCGTGCGTATATATGGCTAGAAAAATATACCGTTGTTATGAGAGTGTGAGGGGGTCAGCGAACTTGTCGAGCTTTCGTTCTTTTCTCAAAAACGTACCCAACATGCACGCACAGCTGGTTTAAGCTTGCGTTCTCTCGCTCTCCAAATGCAGTTGGCATTGGAGCACCGACACATACACATACACAAACACACACACACACATAACGATATCTGTTTATGTTAATGACCTTAAACTTGCAATGTGGACCACTCCATGCGAACACAAAAGCAAACGAGTGAGCGGACCCATCTGGCTGCGATTAAAGTTCCGTTTCTAACCGCTATCACAATTTGTTGCCATCGTTCTGAAAGCTTTGCTTTGCTTTGATTCTTTTTAAATGCTTCGTTTTTTTTTTTTTTAAAATTGATTTTGTGCCACATTCACTTAACTATGGAAGATTCTCTTAACTGCAAATGGTAATTTTACATTCTTGGGACTTTTTTTTTTTTTTTGATAACAGCAAATCAAATTTTTTGTACCGTTATCTTTTAGACCAGTTGTAAAAATAGTTGAGCCTGTTTTTGGTAGACGATATCGCATTATATTATTTATAGAATTGTCTGCATCGACTGAACTATGCCTATATGAAAGATTCTGTCATATAGATATTGTGAGCTATGTGCAAATGTGTATGTGTTTTACATATACTATATATAGTAAGCATTTACATAAATGCCTATTCAATTGATTGTATTAAACATGAACCCGTTGGACATACGTACCTTCCGTTTACATCAGTTTATATCACTTGGTTTCCCTATATCGAAACTTACTATACGCTGCTTTAGAGCAAAGAACTATAATTAATCTCATGGAACTCGAGAGCTATATGGGTTAGAGCCACAATATTTGGTATGCGCCTAGTTGTATGCCATAGCAGCGTACTTTTATAAAGAACCATTAAATAATTCATGCGCATCACTTTGAATTCGAGGAACCAAGCCAGCCAGTCTACTGACTTAAGCCTAATTATTTATGTAAATGAAATAAAATTACTACAATTCCCTGGTAGAGCGGATAGTTATTAAAATACAAAGTCTGATAACAGAATAACTATGCAAGACCTCTAAAGCTTGGAGGTAGATATACACATATGCACAATATAAATCTGAAGGTCATACTTTAGTAGGCATATACCTGAAAAACAAAGAACCTGTACTGTATAATTGTATAAAGAGCAAGGAATCAGTATCAGACGCCCTACTTTAATGACGCCATGTCTTAAGGTGTACAGGTCGGAAATGAATTGCTTTCGTGAATTCCTCTAGTCTTCGCCTGAATATTCAGCAAATTGACACGCTGCTCCCAATCGAATGCGATTAGCATAATGGGGGACACAGTTCAGGCACAGCCAAGTTTCGATTGTCGTTCAGGTTTTCAGATTTCATTTGGTCGGCGATTCGTGCGTAACAATATGTCGATTTCAGCTTCGTTTAAGGATCAGGAGATCTTCGTGACCGGCGGCACCGGTAGGCGAACCTATAGCGATATACACACATATATGTCGGATACATTGATTTTCCTTATTCAGGTTTCGTTGGGAAAGCGCTCATCGAAAAACTCTTACGCTCCTGCCCGTCGTTGGGTAAGATCTATGTGCTGCTGCGTCCGAAGAAAGGAGTCGCAATCGAGCAGCGCTTGGCGGACGTGTTCAATTCAAAGCTCTTCGACCGCTTGCGCCGCGAACAGCCTCAGACTATATCCAAAGTAGTGCCCATTGCCGGAGACTGCATGAAGCTGGGCCTGGGCATTAGCGAAACGGATCTGGCCAAGTTAACCAATGTCAATGTGGTCTACCATTCGGCTGCCTCGGTGCGGTAGGTGGTGGCAGAGGGCTAAGGCCCTCAGTTCAGCGAGTTGTAAACATATTTCCGATGCTTTCAGTTTTGATGATCCTTTGGCCAAAGCCATTTTGATGAACACACGCGGCACTCACGAGCTGGTCAAGCTCGCTCTGCAATGGAAGAAGCTGAAGGCCTTCATCCATGTCTCCACAACCTACTCGAATCCCACGGTCATCGATGTCGAGGAGCGCATCTACCCGCCTTACGCGGACTGGCGTACCACCATCAAGCTAGCCGAGACCTACGATGAGCAGACATTAGATATTTTCAATTTGAAGTAGGTCACACTAGGGTTAAGGCCATCGTTGCTTTATCACTCACGATCTGTCCCTGTGACTCTGTCTGTCTTTTGTAACCCTTTCAGGTATAGCAGCTTTCAGCCGAATAGTTATACCTTCACAAAGAGCCTGGCTGAGCACGTGGCCAATGACTACAGGGATCGGCTGCCCATTCTCATATTCAGGCCTTCAATCGGTGGGTGTTTTTCTATGTACTTTACTTTTGCGACTTAAGCTATTGAATGCTATTGAGTGCTAGCAAGCTGGGTGGAGTCATTTCCATTAAAAAACACTAAAGGCGCTTGAGTGTATCTAGAAGAAGATGTGACAGATCCCAATAAGCATATACATATATTTTTGATCAAGATGCCCTGATGTGTCTACCTGTTCGTCCTTCCGTCTAGCTGTCTCTTCGTCTGTGGGTCTCCTTGTCTAACCGTACACCTGACCCTCCATCCGGACTTCCGTTAATTTAAGCACAGTCACTGTGTTTCCAATGAAGCATGTAATGATGGGATTACTAGCTCTTCGCTCTTCGCTCTTCGCTCAACTCTTGGTTCAGGGCAGTTTCATTCTGAAAGAACTGAATACAAAATAATTTGAAAATTAAATGAATCTCAATTAATGATTAGGTATACCTATCTAACTTTCCAATTAGTCATAATCTCGTCCACACCCCCCCCTCTCTCTCTCTCTCTCTGTCAACAGTCATCTCCACGCTGGAGGAGCCGGTGCCCGGCTGGGCGGACAATTTCAATGGACCCATCGGAATGTTGGTCGCTTGTGGCGTTGGCATTTTACGCTCCCAGAACTGTGATCCCTACATAGTCGCGGATTTTGTGCCCGCCGATGTGGTCGCACGGGCTCTGGTCATAGCCGCCTCCAACTACTTGAAGAAGCCGCCTGCTAAAGACCAGCCCATCGACGTGATCAACTGCGCCGTGTCCAATATTTCGCCAATTTCCATGGGCCAGGTAATAGACATTGGCAAGCGGTATATACGTCAGAATCCGTTCGAGAAGACGCTCTGGCTGCCGGGTGGTAGCATTACCATGTGTCCAGTGCTGCACTTTGTGAGGGTAAGTGGATGCCTCTCTCTCTCTCTCTTTCTATCTTTGCATTTAATTCTTTTCGTTGGTCTAGTTTATAACAATGCATATTATGATGGCCATTGTGGTGGACACGTTGCTCCGTTTGTCCAACGAGAAGCCCTTGTAAGTGCGCTGCGGCCTTCCCAGGGATCCGGTATCCATATATTTTCTGCTTTTCCTTATAGCCTGTTGAAGCTGCAGCGTCGCATCTTTGCCGCTTTTCAGGCCTTGAGGGTGTTCGCGGTTACGGAATGGCACTTCTCTAATGATAAAATGAGAGCTTTGCACAACGACGTACCCAAAGATGAGCTGTAAGTGCGCAAAAAACAAAGGCAACAAAAAATTAATCAAATTCGAATAATTCGTATTTTCCAATTGATTGTTTCTGCAGTGCGACCTTTGGCTTCCTTCAGCATGCGAATATCAACTATGTGGACTTCTTTCAGAATGGCATACGCGGCGCCAAGGAGTTTTTGATGAACGAAAGTCCCGAAAGTAGCAGTGGGGCGCGTTTTCGCATGAAAGTCTTTTACGTTCTGGACTATTTGTGTCGCGCCATAGTGTATGGATTTTTGTTGCGTCTGGTTTATCGCTTTGCTGTGCGCGTTTTTATGACTTAGAAATTGCTATAGAATATGTGTTGTCGTTTTTTTTTTTTACTTACTTTCACTAGAAACGTGTTTTTTTTTTTTATTATTAATTTTATGGATACGGTAAAATAAAGTTGTAAGCTATTAAACGCAAAAATCGACATGGACTTTGAATTAACAGTTGAGACTGGCGCCATCTGTCGAGTGTGTGGCATTTAACAGCTGCCGCTGTCGCCGCTGTTAGCTGAACAGTGCAATGCTATCGATAGGTCGTCGATAGCAAGCACATTTTGAGTATAACATCATGCCACAATAACATACGCTTTGCCAAAAAGCAACTAATTTTGCCGTGAAAAAAAGTGAGAAAATATTGAAAAATGAATACCTACAAAAGGCTAATAAATAAATAAATAAATGCTAAGTCAAAATGTGTAAACCCTAATCATATGCTGCAGGCATTGTAATTCGGCGTGCTGTAAAAAAATGCTGGGAATGTTTTGCTCTGGCGTCGTTTTCCGCAATTAGCTGCTAAAATACACTGAAAATAAACAAACAGCGACACAAACAACAACAAATATTTTTTTTGAATTGGCCGTGCAACAAATGCAGCACGAGTGTGAAATTAATTAGTTGAATTAGTTTATTTGTGTTTTGGTTGCCTTACATTCGTTTATTATTGTTATTATTGGTATCATTTTCTGTGTTTTGGGCACACGAGAACGCGCATTAGTTTCAGCGGGTTAATTGGATTAAGCAAAAGGCAGAGGCAGCAACGGCAGTGGCAGCGGCAGCGGTAGAGTGTCAGTGTGTCTCGATTGGAGGTCGGGAAGACAGAGTTGTTGATCCCGGCTTCAAGCAATGGCCACCACACAGCAATACTCGTTGCGCTGGAACAACTACTTGAGACATCTCACCTATTCGCTGGACAATCATCGGCTGAACGATGATTTCGTCGATGTCAGCCTGTGCGTGGATGGGCGTCGAATTAAGGCGCACAAAGTGGTGCTCAGCTCTTGTTCGTCCTACTTCAAGGAGATATTCAAAGAAAATCCGCATCCGCATCCAGTCATTATATTTAAGTTTATCAAATTCGAAGATCTCAATTCCATAGTCGAGTTTATGTATCAGGTGAGTGAATTTCAGCTAATTAAGTCAAATTTAACTAAACAATTTTCATTGCGGACTACTAGGGCGAGGTGAACGTGCAACAAGAGGCACTACAATCGTTTCTACAAACTGCCGAGCTGCTCGCCGTGCAGGGCCTCACGGCCGAGGAGAAGGAGAAGCCGCAGATGCCGGTGGTGCCGCTTATTAGCGAGCACAAGCTCATCAAGACAATACCCAGCACAATACGCGCCGTCAATGAGCAACAGCAACAGCAGCAGCAGCAGCAGCAACATCATCAGCAGCAGCAACAACACCAACAGCAGCAGCAGCAACATCAACAGCAGCAGCAGCAGGTGACTGTTGCGGGCAATACGCAAACTATCGAAATACCAACGGCCACGCTGTTGCAGGCAACGGCAACGGCAACGCAAGTACAAACGCAGGTGGCTGCTGCTGCGGCTGCTCAACTGCAGGTGCAGCAAACCCAACAGCAACAGCAGCAACAACAGCAGCAGCAACAACAACAGCAGCAGCAGCAGCACCATCATGTACAAAGCACCCAGATACAGCACATTCAAGTACAGGCAGCGCCGCCTCAGCAACAACAGCAACAGCAGCAGCAGCAGCAACAACAACAGCAGCAACAGCAACAGCAGCAACAACAACATCCACAACAGGCCGCAGCGCAGGCGCAGCACCTGACTATCACCAACACGGTATCATTGCCAGCTGCGAATACCGTTAAGAAACGAAAGATCACCTTCTCGGACGATGATGACAACATGTACACCACCGAAACAGTCGACTACGCCGTCAAGGACGAACAGACCATTGTGAAAAGTAAGCAAGTCCCAGGAAATCCAAAGAAAATCAAGTTCGCTGACATATGTCGAATCTAAAGACCATATATTGTACCTAGTCCATTGTAAAATGTACCCAAATCCTACTAAATACTTTGAAAAGCTTGTTAAGCCAGCTTAATGATGCTTAATAATTTATCTTATGAAATATAAAGCATATATAGTACCTGATCCATTATGAAAAGTAAGCAAAAGCTACTAAATACTTTGAAAAGCTAGTTAGCTGACTTGCATGATTTATCTTATGATATATATATATCATATATAGAAATTCAACCATTGTGAAAAGTAAGCAAGTCCCAGGAAATACTATGAAAACCCAGTTTATCTTATGATATAAGTAGCATATATACCTAGTCCAGGTATGTCCATGTATGTATCTGATGTTTTATATATAGCACATATAGTGCCTAAAAAAAGCCTTGGAACCACTTAAAAAATTAGACAAACAACTGAGTTATGATAGATCTAGATTTATATAACCAATATTGTACAAATATGTACGTTCTATCATTGGATCTAGATATACTTAGAAATGCAGCCAATAGTTATACCTTGTAAAGCTAGTTAGCTGATTTGTAAGACTTATATTTGTGATATATATGACATCTATAGTACCTAAATCATTATGAAAATTAAGCAAAACCTTGGAACCACTTTAGGTATTAGCCAATCAGCTGAATTATGTATGATATATCAAGATTTATATGGCAAATATTGTACAATTATGTAGGGTCTATCATTAGATTTAGGTGCACTTCGAAATTCGGTTAATTGTTGTGTTTTATCAATAGTTTGTTTAAATATCTAGTATTTATAGTAATTCGATATATCATTATTATCATTATTATATAGCCATCAATGGGCTGTTATGCAAAGTTCCTCAATGTCTTAGTTAGAAAATCTTATATCTTGAAACTTACTGTTCAAGTCATACTGTTAAGCTATGTATTGTATTGTCGAATCAGATTTCTATAACATGGCATATATTTAAGTCTTTGTATCATAGCTTTACAGTTAGTTTAATAGATCTTTTGTGCTAGATATATCATACTAGATACTGCAGTTCTCGTCCTTGTTGAAACCCTATAAGAGTTCTCTTATTTGATGAAAACTAAAAGTGAACTCCGCATATAGAAAACGACCTAATTTATCTCCCGCTTCAACTAATTCTCATTGCATCTGTTCACAATTGACTTGCAGCTGCTGAGATGACATTTTTGCGCGGTGCCGTTAAAATGGATATACCCGATTATATAGTTAGCGAGGTAGACGATCGACTCTCTGATGGCGCGACGCCGCAAACTTCACAGGATGCAACGACGGCGGCCGCACAGACTGTCGCACAATACTCATCCGAATACGAGATTCTGACCGAGTCCGAGATCGAGGAGAAGTATCAAGCAGATCCCGACAATGCGGAAATTGCCATCGAGATGAGTGAGTGGGCGTGCCAGACACGCATGTATGCAAATATTGATTGTGAACTGAAACTAATGTGGAATTCCTATGCTTGCAGCTCGCCTGCTGGGCACAGCGAGCGGTGCGACAGCCACGGCCACCGCCCAGGCGGTGCTCGAAGATCCCAGCGCTGCGACGACAGGTGCCACAACCACCGTCTCTGTGACACCAGTCAAAACGGACAGCAAAGCCAGCGGCACGAATGGTAAGTTCTCTAGTTAGTGGAGGATAAGTATCCACTATATATAGTCTTAGAATAGATCAAATAATATATATATATATATATATATA